GGTTCTGTTGTCAGAGTGGTACTTTTTGAAAACTACTTTGATATTAATAGATCAAGAAGAACTCTGATATTATCATTTCCATTGCATTTCTTATTTTAGGTGGAGAAAATGAGCAGTCAACAGACATTATCAGTGTTTGGGAAGGAGACTCCATCAACATAACTTGCTCAATGAAAAGTTCAGAAAATGAAGTGGGAACATACTTGACAACTAGCATACAGCCAGTCAATGTGATATATGTTTCCAAGGAGAATACTTCATACATCCTTCCTGCTTTGGCTAATCGCATCAAGTATTCAAAGGAAGGAAGGAATCTCAGCATAACTCTGCACAATGTACAGGAATCCGATTCCAATATCTACCTATGCACTAAGTTTATTAAAAACAAAGGCCATCACAAAAAGCTGAATGGGAAGACAACCATAGTAGTGGTGAAAGGTATTGCAATTCCACCTTTTATGTCATGAATTAATAAATACAGATATATATTTTAAATCAAAGATTGGAAGAATGGGAGGGAGAGTCTGACAGAACTTCACCCAGGTCTGCTCAGGTAGTGTACTAATTTGAAGGAAAGTATAGGTCTGTTCCTTGAAAAGATGAAGAAAACATGTTAGATAGAAAAGTACCGAGAAAAACCCCAGAACATCAATGACTAATTTAATCCTAGCTACAGGTTTTCACATGAGTCATAGATTGCTGCAGCAGTTTGGAAACAGTGAGGACCCATATCTCTTTCCAAAATAATCAGTCAAATCTTTATGAATAACTAGCAAAGCAATGAGCCTTTTTTTGGTAGTGTTTTTTTGCAAATTTCTTTTGGTTTTACTTTTTCATCTCAAATAACAAATTGATGATAATTGAGAAGCTGGTGCTAGGCAAGGTTTGCAAGCTGGGTATCAGTGGATAAAGGGATGTGGGGTTTTTTTCCTTTTCTTAACAAACAGCTGATGAATGGGCACAAGTGCTCCTTTTGACAGTCATTTCTTGTTAGGGGAAGAATTTCTCTGCCTTTTTCTTTTCTTTTAGTTTTTTTGTTTTGTTTTGTTTTGGGTGTTTTTGTTTTTGTTTTTTTTTTAAATTAGGGGAGGGTTGAGTCCACAATATTCTGTGGCAACTTATTCCTCTGCATGCCTATCCTTCTGCTGAGAACATCTAACCTGAAATGTCCTTACCAAAAATTACAGGGTTCTCTTGCTTTCCTGTCCTCATGGCATGCCAAAACTAATTGATTGCTGGGTCTGTAGTAGTCATTTACATCTGTAAAGACTTATCATGTCTGTCCTTACGCATCTCTTTTCGAACTTCTTGACTGTGTTTTTGCAATTGAATTCCATCTTATTGATTATGTACTGTTTTAGAGTACTTATATCTCTTTTTTGATTCTGATCCTCTTCTCCAAAATGCTTGCAACCTTCTCAGAATTATCTTCTTAAATGTGGTAAATTCTGTCTTCATTTCTTCATCCACATTAATGATACTGTCAAAAGGAACAGGGCCTGTCCTCAGAGGAACTCAGTGAAATGTTTTCCCAGCTGGACAGCAGCCGTTAATAACTGCTTTTTAAAGACTGTTTTCAACACTGATGGCTCCTGCATTGTACAATTTTGTCCACACCAATTGTCCCCAGATCTTTCTATGGCTTAATCTCACTTGAGAAATCAGGCAATGATCCATGTCTCAAGGGCAAGTTGACGAAGCTGTATTTCTTTAGAAGAGTTCAGTATATGTATTTTTTAGGTAGGTAGAGATGTTTTACAATCAGGTAAACCTATTCAGTCAGTCCTACTTTCAGATCCTGGGGCAGGAAAAGATGCCAGGGTATACGGAAATATATCTTCTGAAGGCACACATAAAGGTAGCCTTTTGAAAAAAGAATTTTATCTAAATTTCTGTGGCCTGTTCTTTGTCTCTGACCTCTGTATTTGCTCCCTAGTTAAAACGCACTGTGTTAAGTATGTAGTAGCCATTAATCTCTCTTGTTTTTAGCTAAAACCAGTGGAGTTGTTGAACAGTCACCACTCTATCTCAATCCTCAGCAAGGCCAGTCTATCAGCATTACCTGTGCATTGAAAAGCTCAGATGAAGATGAAGGGATCTACTTGCTCAAGACTCACATGCAACCTGAAAGAGTGCTACATGTTTCAAGTCAGAATGCTTCAACTATTTTTCCTGCTTTTGCTGATCGCTTGGAGTATTCAAAGGAAGAAAAGAAAATTGTGATAACTCTACACAACCTACAGAAAAATGACAGTGATATATATGTGTGTGCTGTCGTGGTCAAAAATTCTTCTTTCCTCTCAGTGCATTCAAGTGGCACCATGATGCTGATTAAAGGTACTATCCTTTTGCTTGTTTAATCCTAAATAACTGTAGGCATGTTGAAATTCGAAAGATGGACTGAAAGCTTGCAGAACTTAGTCAGGGCAGCACTAAGTCCACGGCTAGACTTCTTCCAGCTTCTGGGAAAGTCTGGAGAGTATCCTCGGACTTGTCTTTGTCCTGTTGTACTAGGACACAGAAACAGGCACTATATTTCTACCTGCCTTGTATAACCTGATGGAAATAATAAAAGAGAAAACTTGCTATAATCCTGCATCTTGGGGAAAAAAAAAGGTCAAAATCAGACAACAAACACTTCAGTGTGTCTATAAATAATCTGTCAGTTTTAGGAAATGAATCAGTACTTTTAGCATCAGTTTTTTGACCTTAATGTGACATAAATGTCTTTTAGAAACCATTCCCTATAGCAAGTCTTTGTGTTCAAAAATAGGTCACACTAGGGAGTACAGAACAAGTCCTCAGGCATTTACTTAAAGTACCAGAAATAATAGCAGAGATGATCTCACACACCCTTATTATACACTGAGCACAATGTGAGCATATGTTCCAAAGACAGGGTTTTTTCTTTTTCTGCAGGATGGTGGTGTAATCATTTGCTAAGATTAAGACAAAACCAGCAATACAGTCCTCGATTTTGGTCTTACTGATGCAATTTAACCCTATGCATTGGGCTTTGATGAGATCTTTGAGTAATTAAAATAAGTTTTACATAGGACCTAAGAGTTGCAAAGAATCTATCTGCTGTCTGCAAAAAACCCCAGTGGTCTCATTCTGTGCCGCTAGCCTTAACTGGTGCAACAACTCGGTAACGTGAGTTGGGAAAATGACAGCTGCACATCAAAGAAGTGGGCTGATTACCAGCTATTATGTTATTCAGATAAGGATTAATTGAGGTTTTAGAGAACTGCAACCCTTTCCACTAGCACCATTCTGCTCAGTGTATATAGTTTGGATCACAGTAGCTTCCTACTTCTGTCTGTACTGCTTGCAAACCTGGGTGTTATACAATTCCTATAGACTCCTGGCTGAGCCCTCAATGTTGCTCTAATACTGCAGTAAAACATTTTCTGTTGCCATTATAAGTGTGCGGTCCTACTTCTGACCAGTGATGTGGAAGCTCTCTCCTTTGTAGAGTGCTCCTCACTGACCCTTCACATGCCACCTGCAGTCATCACCACCCTCTAAAAGAGCACAGGGAATGCCATTAAGAATACCAATGGGATGACAAATGTGGCTGTGTAGCGTGCTGTTGATATCTGATTTCTTGCTGACCAGTAAATAATTTTCTTCATAATGAAAATAGAATTCTATCTCTTTGTATTTATACTACTACTACTACTACTACTAATAATATCATTTTACAAGCAGAAGTGGAGCAGACAGACTGCAGTAATAGTTCCTGGGTCATCTATGGTCTTATCCTCGTAGTAGTGCTACTGTTTTCTGCGCTGACTTGCTGCATCCTGTACCATGTCAATGTAAGTATGCTGTTACCGTGCCAAAGCCAAGCTGAATCCAGGCTGAGTGAATAAGTGCCTTTGATACTGTTTGTAAATAGTGACTGGGTCAAGCAAACATTCCATAAACCTAAGGAATCATGGCTTTCTGTTGTCTCCTCTTTGCCCTTGTCTAATGTCTCCCAGCTGTAAACTCTTGGCAGTAAAGACTGTGTCTTATGTTTCTGCAACTCTTAGTAAATGAGTTATTGTTTGCCTTTGATAATAAACCTCAAGTAAGCCTCACAGTCAACAACACAGCCATGCATTGTATGTATTTCCCTGAACAGAGCACCTCACTATTCTGTTTCACTTTTTTTTTTTTATTTTTGTCAATTGTCAATGGAACTGTATATACCAACCTTGTAAGAGAATCTTTGGAGGGGGACACAAGGACAACAAATGTCACGAAATAGCCTAATGTCTGAAAGCAACTGTAGGAGAAAAATTTTGCCCTGTCCTAGAAAAAAAGGTGACCAACAAATTTTTCCTTTACTGGGATTATCACATTCATATTCTGCAGAAAGTGCCCAGAAATTATTTGTCTCCAATAGATCCTTCTGCTCCATAATGCTTATTCAAAATTAACATACTATGATTCACAGGCCAGGCTCCTATCTCATCCCTCCACATATGGTTTCAGGTCTGCTAAGAAACAGTAGGCTAACATCATTCCGGCAAAGCCAAGCAGCCCTGTGGGAATTGGTTTCTTGTGTTATCAGTAACAAACTAAGGATAAGCCTTATTTATGTTGGGGCCACAGTTATATCCAACTCTTGAAGGAACTTTTAATGCAATTACATCAGACCGACAATAGAAAGTTAAATAAATAGGTTGACAATTTCCACCTAATCCTCTAAGACCTCATTGGGTTACGAGAGGAATTTTAAAAGTGCTTTCCACTTCAAACAGATGGACTCCTAAGATGTGAATTCGGTCCTTGGTCGGGGTCTTTTCAAGCTCTGTTCTGAATGGCTGTTTGCTTTGTTTTGCAGATGAAGAAATATTTCCAGAAAAGAAAAGCAAATACAGTATATGAAGACATGTCTTACATTTCTAGATGTAACACCTTGATCAGCACCAACACTTACTCCACTGGCAGTTAAGCTTCTGCCAGATGGGACCATGCGTGGATTGACCATTCCTTTACAGGTCTCTCTGAGAGCTGCCTTAGCAACCTGATGTGCTAGCTGAACTGAAAATGCTGTCACCTACCTTCTTCAGTGGAAAGAAAAACATTCCTCATTTGCAAAGCTGTTTATGCTTCTTTGATCACTTGTAAAATCTTTCTTTTTTTCTTTTTTTTTTTTTTTTTTTAACTGTATATGGAATGTAGAGAAATGCAGGCACCCAGCATATGTGTTTGCAGTTTAGTCTGGAGAGCAGTATCTTTGAACTACACATTCAGCTAGATGCAACATATGGGCTAACTTCCTTGATTGATAAATAACCCTTCCGGGGAATGTGGGATAGATGGGGAGATCTGGTTCTGAGCTTTGGTAAATGCTCGGGAAGACCACAACAGGCCTGTTTAATAATACACAATGGATCCACATATGCATGGGTTACAGTTCTCTTATGAATCCTCATGGTCTGTCCAAGAGCTAAGGTAGCTAAAACTACCAAAGAGTTACAGCACAGAAATCTATTCTGAGGAGACTTCAGAAATGTTGGGGCAGAGTACATCACAAATGAATTGTTGGATTTGTGTGGGCTTAGCTATTCAAAGATCATAACAGTCCCACAAAAATGCACTCAAGTCTAGATTTTAAATTACTGTCTTTGTCAGAGATACCGACATGATTGGTGTGGGTCTTGGCGTGGTTTACTCGCAAAATGAAAGACTTGGGGCATGACGGCTTTTTAGGAAGGAAGAAATATTTGTGACATGCTGGTGTTGTCTCAGTCTCCAGATGTGTTAGGACTACACAGCAGAATGGGTTTCTCCAGGTCAATGACTCTACATTTTGCAGGATGAGGTGGACTGATCTGGCATTAAGCCAATGCCTGCATTCCAATCTGGGCATGGGTGAGTCTGATCGAAAATCACTCTTAACAAGGGAATCTATCAAAAGCTCACATCAGTCAAGTAGAAACTAAATTTGGTTTAGTAATGGTTTAGAACAGGTTACTACAGTGAACTTAACTCTTCTCTAGCTAAGGAGGGGCTACAGCTTCCTCCAGGGGTGTTTTTGTTTTGCAGAGCCAGATCCTCTCTGGAAAGTCAACAATCTTGTATGCCCAGAGGAATATCAAATTGCTCTGTTATGAGGCAGGATTGACAGGGTTGGCTTGTGGTTTCTGGGGACAGGCTGAGACTAGAATTTTTCGTTATTGATGTATTTGTTTAGTTTTTTGAGGGATTAGGGCCAGTTTGCCATTGATGACGGTGTGTAGCTGGAGCAGAGCCAGGCACAAGAGACCGTCCCTCTCTGGAGATGAGCTCTGCCAAGATCTTAGCTTGCCGAGCCAAGCCTGCCACTTGAGAGAAACCATTTCCCTCCAAATGTGAGTCGTGAAATTCTGTGCACCAGACCCAAGGGAGAAATATCCTCACTTGGGTGGCTGGTGGAGGGTTGGGTTTACTTTGTAAGCAAAGAGGTGTCTGTTGATTGTGGACCCTGCAATCTCCGCATAGCTGTACCCAAATAAGATTATGTTTATGACTGTGGCTTTGTACAGTTGCTCGGTGTTTTCATACATGTATTAAAGACTGTTTCATATGTCTTACAAATGAATGCTAGTTACTGAATGTACTACTACTTCTAGTGGTTTGGTTCTTTTTTTTTTTTTAATAGAGTGATTCAAAGGCTTCTTGCAAAATGCAGTATAACTTGCTCCTGACAGCACCTCAATAGACAACATAATAACTATTTCCCACTTTATTTACGTAATCTACATTTGTGGGGCTTTTTTTTTGTTTGTTTTAAAACTAATCCCTGAAGAAAATATGAAAGAACACTTCAGACCATATATATTTATGCAGTCCTTTCGTAGTGACTAAGATAAAATTCCTGAAGAGATAAAAATGTCAAAAGGAGGCGTGTAAGAAACAGATGGCACTGGGGAAGCTTGCCCCATCCTTCGAACAGCACCTTGCACCCAGTCACAATGATTGAGGGCCATGGGGTTTGCTAAATCTGGAGCAGGAGACGGTGCCTCATTGCTGTTTACCCTGTTTAATGTCCCCATGAGCACAGCCCCAGCAGCATCCCATGTCCCCTCTTGGGGGTCCCACATCCCCTTTCTCCATGCCCTGGGCAAGCAGGGCCCCCATCCCCTCTCCACTTGCAGCAGGCCCCATTGCTGTAGTAACAGGAGGCCCTGTGGTGCTCCTGGCATGGGCAGGCTACAGGCTGGGCACCCTGGGAGCCCTGTCAGCCCCTCCGTCCCTTTCACTGGCCCACCTCAGGGGCAAATACAGAGCTGGGGAAGATGATCTAACAAATTAGATACGGATCTAGGAACTAAAGTGTCCGTAGTCCATCACTTTTTGTCAAATTTTCTTTTTTGAAATAAGATTTAGATTCAGTAGAAAAGGGATACAGAGAGAGAGACAATGTGATGAGGTTTGAGATGAGCAAACTGACATTTGAGATCAGCTTTCTGTAGCAATACTACTGTGCAAACATGACCACAACTGTGAAAAAAACAAGCTGTGGAAGGAAACAGTAGTAGAGGTGGTTTCACTGGCTTGGCGTAAATAAATAAAAAAAAAAGAAGTAAAGCCTAGCTGAGGAAAATGACATATGGTGAGACATTTAACAAGTTGTACCTGTGCAGAGCGGCAGAAAATCAACCCCACAATTAACGCAAGCAGCAGTGAATGAACTGCTTGAAGAGAGCTGCTGGGGAAATTAGCTCAAGAGTGCCAGAGTAAGAGGTTGAGTATTTGGCTGTTCAAGAGGGTCAGAGAGGTCCTAAGATGCAGCATGGTCTCAGAGCTTCCCTGGAAGGCAGGCAAACGGAATTTTTCGTGTCCAGGGTTGAAGACAGAATTGCTCTGGGCTTATCCTGTCACCTTTGCTGTTTTTCTGTCTCCTGTCCCTGCACTGGGGAGGGAAATGTTTTTCAGGGAGGGGTGGGAAGTGCAGCATGAGACTTTGAGACTGGGCCAGGACCCACGGCAGTGAGAATGGTATCAGGGTATTAGCGAGGTCCCCAGCCCCATTTCATGGGATAAACAACAGAAACTGCAGCCGGGAGAAAAGCAGCCTCGGGTGCGGGAGCAGAGCTGCAGCACTAGTGTCAGAGTTTACTGAACAGGGATGGAGAAAGCCGAGGCAGCTGAGCAAGGACAGTATGTCAGAAGCAGAGGAAACATAACAGGCAAGGTACAAGCCATGTCAGAAGTGATTCAGGGGGCCAGGTCTGTATGGAGTGGCCTGGGCTGAGCTCTTGGGAAGGGGAGGGCTCATCAGAAATAATTTTTGGTTATTTGCAAACCTGGAGAGACCAGCCAGTACATGTAGATTACCGCTAATGGAGCCCATAAACTCCGTAAAATATAACCGAGGAAAATATTTCAATCCTCTAACTCAGGCTCATCTGACAAGTACATGCTTGAACTCAGATGCCAAGGAGGTTGATAAGCCGTGTTGAGCCACAAAACATTTTCCAGGAAGACTGGACTGTATACGGGGTAGAAGTAGATTCTCCTTCTGTTGTGGCTTGTTATATATTGTAGGACACTGGATTAGTTCCAGTGACTATCCTGCAAGTGAACTGCTTCTAGCAGTTGTAAATACTACGTGACATATTTCTAAAGCCTACATTGGTGGAGTTGCCTGGAGTTAGTTTCTTCCACCCATCTGTCACTGGTTGCTGCTTGTGATCATTCTTCCATCCACTAACTCATGTAGGAGACATTCTGTTATTATTTGGAGCTTATGAGCAAAATATGTCCAGCACTGCTGGTTCTAGTGAAGGCAAGCTACTGACTGGTGATTTCTCAAGGTGCCTGTGTTAGTGAAAAGAGTGTTTCCATTCACAGCATACCATCTTTCGTAAGCACTTGTTTTTCAAAGTATTCAGTTTCTTTTTTAATGTTTTGTACCACTTGCAATCATTATTAGCAGTCAGGTTACAGTCAAGTTGAACACATGCATTTTTTTGCTGGTAGTTCACAGATTTGGTTTTCACATAGTTTACAGCTCTGAAGTGCTGAAAATGCCTTCTTGGTGACTTGTCTTTAAGCTGACGTCTTTGGTTAATATGCTTCTGCTCTAGTTAATGAATTCTTCTACTGCTTAACATCTAATTTTAAGAGTATTTGTGTTATTTTTTAATACTATTTCAAATGCTTCAGTAATGACTGGATACTGGCTATGTGCAGCATGAGAGAAATCTTCCCAATTCCACTTGAAATCTCAACAGGTTTTAACTTACTTTTAGGTAAATCACTGATAGTACATTACCAATCTTAACTCTGTCATATAGCAGATCATCCTACCTGATGATTGAGGCTTAATATTAAGAGATCATAATTTTTTAATTCAAGAAAGTGAGATAAAGAACTAGCCTAAATATTGATCAGAATGAATAAAATACTTTTACCTAAAATTAAAATTTTACAGTGTTGTTATTTTCCATCTTGTACAAGTAGATTATCTGTCCAGCTTGACTCCACTATGTATAAATAAACTGCTAATAGGGCTGAATGAACTCTCTGAATGGTGCTAATTCCTTCCTGTGCCCTTATTTCAGCAGAATGGGTTTGGGTGTTATTTGCCTGCAACAACTGGTGGGCGTATTTCTGAAACTCTCCCCAGAGAACATGTCCATGTCCCCAGAGAAGATAACCACCTGAGGTGTTAGGAATGGCCTGCTATACTCTTGTGCTTCTGACTATAATGAGAATAATATCTAAACACTGAAGATGCCAAGTGGAAGATGCTCTCTTATTCTTTCTGTGAATTAGTAACAGTAATTAGGAACTCTCGGGGAAAGCCTTAATTTCTCTTAGCAGTTCATGCTGCCGTGAAATATTTGGTCCATCTCCTCTTAACACAATGGAAAGCTACATGTTTGTTTCTCCAAGGAATCTAGCTGAGTTCTGAGGCTCAGGAGCCGGTATTGCATCCGCAAATCTGTTAAGGCATGGAGG